AAAGAAAGAAAGAAAGAAAGAAAGAAAGAAAGAAAGAGAGAAAGAGAGAAGTAATTCTGTCGATACTGTTAAGAATATTGCATTGTAGTTTAACCAAAAACGTGGTTTATTGCCTAAAAATATTCCCTGTGTATAACATGTAAAAAGAAATGCAATATCTAACTTTATTGATGAATTGACTTTTCAGCTATTTGTAGATAAGTTAAGTGTTTATTTATAGTATAAATTTCTTTATAATCTTAGTTTATTAACTGATCTCCACAACATTTAGCTTCTCTTTTATCGTTCGTGAAAAGTTAGGAACGTAAGCTACAATATTATGAGTTAGAGATATCATTAATAAATATTTTTTATCTATTTCGTGACATTTTACTTTTTGAATCAATCTAAAAATAAATGCTTCGACTTCTTTATGGAAACTGTATTGCTCCTGATGTAAAACACAGACATGTTGCCATAGCGACGATATTAATTACATGCTCGTTGCTATAGTAATTAAGAGGGGGCGCGTTTGAAATTTCTCTTTAAATACCAGTTATTTCGGAGTAGAAATTTTACTGTTGTAACATCGTAATTTTTTCCCACGTCTGATTGCCCGGAGCAGGTCTTGTTGGAGTAGTTCTGTCCTTATCTGTTCAACATGAAGCTCGTTCTGGTAGCCGTCGTGGTGTTTCTCATCTGTGGAATCATGCTGCCAACTTCATCAGAAGGATCATTTAGTAAGAAATAGACCCTTCCATAGGTTTTTCAACATTTGATATGGGCGAGTTAGAAGAAAAAATAGTTCAAACCTATTGGGCAGAGCACCTCAAAATTAGCAAATTTGCCGCCAAGTTAAAGGGTGAATATTGAAAAATGGCAAACGATATTTCATTTAATTTGCAAAAATTTACAAACGTTTGTCTAACTAGTCCATGTAAAAAGTTGTAAAATCCGAAATTTAGGTCTCTCTGAAGACGAAATTTCGCAATTTCAAGCATTAGTTTATAAGTATGATTGCCATGTCATACGATTAGTGCAAAAAATTCAAATCGCTCGGCTTTGTTGATATATAGTACATAAGGTATAAGTAACTCAAATAATGAATCTTATTTTACAGTGAGGACACTCTTACCATGAACACTTTGTGATTTTCTACTATTTTTTTAACATGCATCCCTGGAGTGAATCATTTAGAAATAAGTTATCTTTTGATCACATGGCATATTTGAGTTCAATCCTACTTTTTTAGAGGGTTTGAAGCAGCAAAAAGCTCAAAAAATAAAAATCTGTATAAAGTCAAGTGTTCATGGTTCGAGTGTCTTCACTGTAAGGAAACGAAACGTAAGTAGTCGGGGTGAAAAGATACTACGGTCAAATAGTTGGATGTAATCTTTCCGGCATTAGACAAGATTTTAGGGTTTAGTGACTTCACTCTAGTCAAATAGACACAAAACAAAACAATGAAATGAGGGTCTAAACCCTAAGGGCTTATTATTAGATTTTATGTTAATTATACACTAACTACTACAAAAATGTTCACGTTGTTAGGAAAATAGAGTGGTTTTCAAAAACCATGCGAAACAATTACTCTTAGTTACTGTCTAATAACGTGTTATTAAAGCGTATTGATGGGATTTAACCCATGAAATATAAAACATGTTAGTCAACGCGTAAAAGTGAAAGAAAACAATGTAATGAGGGTCTACTAATGTGTATTAGTCTAATATCTATTTCACGGGTTTATTGACTTCATTCTATAAACAAAGAACCGATGGAAATAAGATTTACTAACCCTCTATTCTACTCACTGAATTTCATGGTCTCAAACAAATGAAATAAGATCTAGTTATATAAGTAGTCTAAGAACTATTTCACGGTGTGAGTAAGATCACTCTAGAAAAATTAATTGCGGCAACGACTTCGTTATGACGCCTTGCTATAACTAGATGTTGAAAGTTTGATGGAAAACGCCTCAAGTCAAACTGCAGTTTTAGGTTCGTCAAACGTCATGCAAAAGGTCTCTGATGTTTAATTTTTTTCCATAGCGAAAATGCTCCACAGAATGAGATGCAAGAATAACTGGGACTGTAAAAAGTGTGATGAAATCAAACGTCAAGGAAAATGTAATGCAGGGTATTTGATGGGCGTTTGTTATAAGACTTGTACAGGATGCGGTGAGTATATAGTTTAGACCGTGCCCTGGCACGTACAGTTTTTTTTTTTTTTTTTTTTTTTTTTTTTTTTTTTTTTTTTTTTTTTTTTGTTGTTGTTGAAAATCATATCTTTGTCAGTTTAAGAGCAATCTCTACGAAACTTTGCAATTTTACTATTGTCAATGTGACAAATTGGATAGTA